TTACTTAATAGCAAAACACAAAAAGCCACATGCCCCTTGTTCTCCTTTCCACAATATGATGATGACTAAAACACATTCCTCAGTCAGCAATGCTATTGGATCATGTATGGCAAATATAGCTGAAGATCTGAAGAAACAAGAGTTCAATTTCACAGTGTAAGAAATCTGCCATATAATCATAGGGAAACATGCCCTAAAGCACAGATGTTTCTTACATGTCTTTTTCCAAAAAGTGAAATACACAAGGAACAACTTTTTCTTTATCAGCCAAAAAGGGAAAGACAAAATACATACTCAACAGTTTACTTCCTTAATTAAAACAAAAATTTTAGTGCCTAGATCTTGGTTCCTAAACATCATTGCTCCTTAAAACAAACAAACAACAACAACAAAAAAAAACCTGGGCCCCTGGAAGAAATGGCTGATTTTAGGGCTGGGCAGGAAAAATGTAAGATGAACGTGGAACATCTTGTGCTAGAAAGTAGTGTTAGAAAAATAATGAGGGTATACCAAAAGGAAGACGAGTCACCTTGAAGTGGCTGACACTGGCCAAATCTGGGACATTTGAGCATTAAAATAAATAAGGAGGGTGAACTGGTAGAGTACAGGGGATATTTAGGGTAGTGAAATGCTTCTGTATAATGCTGTAATGGTAGATACATGCCATTATGTTGCAGGTAGTTAGACAGGCATGAGAGGGCAGGAGAAGGCTCTTCCCCACCCCAACAGGAATGTCAGGTGATGGTTTGTGGGAATTCACTCAGGGTGGTGGCAAAAATATTAAGGGAAAATTTTAGAGAAAGTTATAGAATATAGTCTCAAACTCTTTTGGAAGGCCTAAGGGTTTTGTCTATAGTTCTTGGCTAAAGACAGCCTGAGTCTCTTTGCAGGAGCCAGAGAGATTAGGGCACAAATACAAAGGAATGTGAGTAGTTTACCTAGCTAGCTTGTTTATTCATGTGGTCTTAAAATTAAACTTGGAGCCAGATGGCCCTCTCTGGCGGTGGGAGGGGTACATCGACCAGGGAAGTTACCCTCTAATGGTGTTTGCTTTGGGCATCAGAACCTGGCTTTTAATCTGTCTCTACAAGTATGCTGACTTAAAGACTATTATTAAATCTATACTGGATAAATGGGAAGAAGGCAAGCTAGTCAGTGCCATGTAGCTGCAATCTCTCTCTGTGAGTGGCTCACAACCTCCTGCCCATATATTCACTGGAAATTTGTGTCCGAGTGTATTTATTCATCTGTCATGCAGCTGGGGCCTGTGGGACAGACACCGGCAATGGTTCCACAATCACATTGCCTCTCTAAAAATGATAATTCAGCATCCAGCGCCAAATTATCTCCCGATGGATCACGGCTATTACATTAAAGTGTTAATTGAATGCAGGCACCAGGGAGAAGCAAAAAGGGCTTCCAATATAACCTTCAGTATTGGGTAAGTGAGCCTGGGCATGCACATTGAAACAAAATGACGAAATATGACCTTCTGGGGGCACTCGGTTGGAAAAGGGAAGAAAGCCTCAGATGGGCATGTGTACAACTTCCTAAACACATGCACATGCTCACTTCCCAAGTGTAAGGAGGGCACTGTGCATGCAGGCAGCCCACCCTAAGGGAAGAATCATGGGAAAAGGGTGCAAGACCCCAGAAGTGGGCCAGCCTGTAAGTCCTGGAATCACAGTTAAATGCTGCACTTGTCCTTCAAGTCATCTGTTTGGGTCTCTTCCAAGTGTACTTTCCTTCTTTCCTGTTCTAAAGCCTTTTAAAATAAACTTCCACTCCTGCTCTGAAACTTGCCTCAGTCTCTTTTTCTGCTTTATGCCCCTCAATCGAATTCATTATGCAGGTAACTGAGATGCCTTCCAGTTGGCCTGAGTTTCTTTTTTTTTTATCTCAAAATAAAAAAAAAATGTCCGTGACATGAAAGACAATGGCCAGGGAACTACTCTGGATAAAGAAAGCTAAAGAAGTTCAGGATAATAAATAAATAATATACATATATGATTTTGCATGTGTATTTAAAGAGGGAGTGCAGATGTGGCAAAACACTAACGATTTGCTGAATTTGGGCAAAGGGTATGTAGGAGTTCTCTTACTATTTTTGTAACTTGTCTGTCAATTTGAAAATTCTTTCCAAGCAAAAAGTAAAAAGGGGGCTGGGTACAGTGGCTCACACCTGTAATCCCAGCACCTTGGGAGGCTGAGTTGGGCCATTACTTGAGGCCAGGAGTTCAAGACCAGCCTGGCCAACATGGCAAAACCCAGTATCTACTAAAAATACAAAACAGGCAGACGTGGTGGCACACACCTGTAGTCACAGCTACTTGGGAGGCTGAGGCAGGAGAATTGCTTGAACCGGGGAGGCAGTGATTGCAGAGAGCCGAGATCGTGCCATTGCACTCCAGCCTGGGCAACAGAGCAAGACTCTCCCCCCACAAAAGAAAGTAAAAAAGAACATGCTGTATGGAAAAACTGCAAGTACAACACCTCTTCTAGACCGTTTTGACTAGAATAAAGGAGGGAAAGGAGGTCCTGGGGTAAAGTTATAGAGCTAGCACCAAAGGGGATAATTCATGTCTTAACCATAAACGAATTATTACAGCAAAGAAGTTGAAACTAAAGTACATAAAGTACTTACCACAGGATGTCACAGCTGTGGCAAATTTTATTAGCATATTCTAATTTTATTAAAATACAATTCAATGTTTGTAAATATATTTATTAAGATAGGGAAGACTATGAAAATCTTTCTGCCATGCAAATTACTGTCAATTTAAAAATAAATTACGTATTTTTATAAAGATACTTACTGACATTTTCTTTAACAAGTAGCTCAGACAAGCATGCTTATGTAGCAGATAATTGAAAAACAAAACCATTGAACCTTTAAACTTACTTTTAATATGAAAAGGGAAAGTCAAAAGAAACTCTTGCATTTTTAAATGTATCTGGAAATATATTCATTTGGGTGTAATTTTTTATTGCTGAAACAACTCTGAGCATCTACAAAAACTCTAGCTGCTCACTAAAGAAAGTCGGGGGGCAGTTACTTCGGTGGCTGAGGTGGGAGGATCACTTGAACCTGGGAGATTGTGGCTGCAGATTTATGGTCACACCACTGCACTCCAGCCTGGGTAACACAGCATGAGGAGATGGGAGAGAAGGGAGATGGGAGGGGGAAGAGGGGAAAGGGGAGAGAGAGAGAGAGACAGAGAGAAAAAGAAAAAAAGGGGGAAAAAAGAAAAGGAGAGGAAATTGCCAATGTGTTTAAAAATCTAATGAAACGTTTTAGTCATTTGAGTTGACTGTACTAAATATAGAAATACATCCTATTTCAACCAGTTTGCAAGAACTTTTGGAAAGCAGGAAATGGAAATTTTAATTTAAGCATGAAGAGTCGTTGGAAAGGCTTTTAAAATAAGTATAATTTATTATCGCAACCAGGAATTTTCCTCTTCCCTTTGGACCCACGTATCTTCATGGGGTGTTTTTCCACCTTTGATGTTGTTAAAACTAAGTACTGACACACTCAGACTCAAACCCCCAAATCGCTGAATCATAGAGTGGTAATTCAAGGTTTTCAAAACCATTCCTAACAACTCGATAGATTTCCTAAAAATCATTATTCAATGAAACTGGGTGAATTTCATGATACGCAAATTATACTTCTAAGATGTTTTTAAAATAGGCATATTCCCCCTGGGCTTGGTGGCTCACACCTGCAATCTCAGCACTTGGGGAGGTCGAGGCGGGCAGATCACTTGAGGTACAGAGTTCGAGACCAGCCTGGGTAACATAGGAGAAATCCCATCTCTATTAAAAACACAAAAATTAGCCAGGCGTAGTAGCGCACGCCTGTAATCTCAGCTACTCAGGAGGCTGAGGCAGAAGAATCCCTTGAACCCAGGAGGAAGAGGTTGCAGTGAGCCGCGCCACTGAACTCCGACCTGGGCGACAGAGTGAGACTTTGACTCAAAAAACCCAACCAACCAACCATATTCCATTGCATTGTCCTTTACAAATATTCATTTAATTATATAATTGCTAATTAATTGTTTAGTTGTTTTAACAACCAAGTATTCGATTCTTTACACTATTTCATCATTTAAGTTTTATTTCGCGTATTTTCACAATGCACGTTATCTATTATTGAGGAATTTAATTAAATAACCATTCGAACGGTGGGCTCGAAATGTTTACTGATGAAGCTTGGAGAGTTACGATCACATCACTGCACTCCAGCCTGCTGGGTAACAGACCAAGGGGAGAGAGACGAAAAGAGAGAGGGGAGAGAGAAGAGGAGACTCTCCGGCCACTGGAAGGAAGAGAGGGCAAAACAGCCTAGCAACCGCTGTTCTGGAGCCCCTCGGCCCAAGAACGTGGCGGTTCTCTCGGACCATCGCGCCCCTCAGCCAGGTCGCCCCGAATGAGCGCTCCACGGCCTCTGGTCCCGCTTTCGCTCTGCACACAGGAACTGTCGGGTCCTCAACCGCTTCCTTCTCCCAGCCTCATCAGGTTCCCAGGCCGCTGGGGATTCCCAACGCCACCTTCCAAGGTTCTAGGGTCAGCGAGCGCCTAAGGGCAAGGACGAAGAGCGCCGGGCAGCGATCGGGACCACACCCGCGCCCCCCAGCTGCAGACAGGGGGAAGAGACGCGGGAACTCCAAGGTGTACAGGTCTCCGCAGGCGCCTGCCGCATTCCAGTGACGGTCAAGGCCTCCCGTGAGGCGGGGTTTTCCCAGAAAGCAAGCGTGTACTGCGCCAGATGCGCCACTAGCCGGAAACAGTAAGGAAGGAGAGAAAGCAGAGGGCCTCCCATTTCCAAGGCGCGTGCGCAGAGGGAGGGGAGGCGCGTGCGCAGAGAGGCAGTGAGCGCTAGGAAGGGCGGCGCCTGCGCGATGGGGCGGTGAGGGCTAGGCGGGGCGGCCCGGGCACAGAGGGGCGGTGACAGCTAGGAGGGGCAGCGCGTGCGCAGAGCGCCGATGTGACTTAGGACGGGGAGATGTGAGCTAAGAGGAGCAGCGCGTGAGCGGAGATGTGACTGGTGGGACTTACGGCGGCTCGCGGAGGATGGTCGCCCTCCTGGGCGCGACGACCCTGATGCTCGTCGCCGTGGCGCTATGGGTGTTGCCCGCAGCCGCAGGTGAGAGGCGGTGAGAAGAGTCTCGGCGTGGGGCCGGAGACAGGGCGCGCAACTGGGCTACGGGGGCGGCGATGGTGTTGGGGGCAACAGACGCCCAGTCTCGGAACTCTTTGGTCCTCTTTGCCCCGGTGGTTTGGGGTCCCTAGCCGCAGCGCTCAGATTAAACCCAACCTGGGCTCGAAAATGAAACAGGAGAGTGGTGTTGTGAGTCCTCCCTCGTCGCTTGCCTGCTACCGGCGTACTGATCCTTGGGCGCGCCCGGGTCCCACCCCCCAGGAAGTGGCGGTGCCAGAGCTTTGTGTCTAGTGTGCTGCTTTCCGGCAAGGTACTGCAGCTCAGATGACATATTTGATAATAAAAAAACATTAACTGAAACGCATTTCCTCAGGTTAACAGGCGCCCTGTCCCACGGGATAGTGAACTAAGTGTGGCCAGGATTTCTCTGCCCTCAGGATTCTTACAGGCCAATAAAAAATGACAACCGAAGGGAGTGAGTGACAGAAGCATCATTCTCAGTCCTCGAGGTTTACTAAGCCTGCTTCAGGGCGCATGCGGGAGAAACATGAGCCACAGACACATCTGTGACTGGTTTTCCGGAGAGGTTTTCAGGAGGTGGTAAGACAAATAGTTCCGTAAGACTTTAGTGGTCAAGAAATCTGTATTATAAGTAAGATACCATGAGTGTCTTAAAAAGAAAAAGAGAGAATGTAATCCCAGCACTTTGGGAGGCCGAGGCGGGTGAATCACGAGGTCAAGAGATTGAGACCTGGTCAACATGGTGAAACCCCGTCTCTACTAAAAATACAAAAAATTAGCTGGGCACGGTGGTGCGTGCCTGTAATCCCAGCTACTCAGGAGGCTGAGGCAGGAGAATTGCCTGAACCCAGGAGGGGGAGGTTGCGGTGAGCCGAGATCGCGCCATTGCACTCCAGCCTGGGTAACAAGAGCGAAACTCCGTCTCAAAAAAAGAAAGAAAGAAAGAAAAAGAGAGTAAAGGAAGAGTCAGTTATGCAGATGTCTCTAGGTAGGTGGATTCTTGACTTTGTTTTGGACCAGAGAAGATAAGCTTGTAATTGACATTGTCATTGTAGAAGGCCTGAACTAGTTTTTCAGGTTAACTTTGGAATGGCTTTCGTTGAGAGGAGGGGTCCGTTCAGATGGTTGGGGGGCTTAGAATTTTATTTTAGGTTTACATAACTACCTACTTTTTCCCCAAAGAAATAAGCATGTTCAAAACTCAATGAAATGTTGTCTTAGTAAGATTGTAATGTTGCTCAGTTTTTCAGATGTCATAAAAATATTCATACTTTTTAGTTGAGTAAATGCAGTTCTAGACCAAGACTGAGAAAACTATCCAAAATATGGGAAGACATTTTTATTCATACTTTTTTTTTTTTTTTTTGAGACAGAGTCTCACTCTGTTGCCCAGGCTGGTGTGCAGAGGCATGATCTCAGCTCACTGCAACCTCCACCTCCTGGGTTCAAGTGATTCTCCTGCCTCAGCCTCTCAAATAGCTGGGATTACAGGTGCATGCCACCACATCCAGGGTTTTTTGTATTTTTAGTAGAGCCAGGGTTTCACTATGTTGGCCAGGCTGGTCTCGAACTGCTGACCTCAAACTATCCACCCACATTGGCCCCATAAAGTGCTGGGATTACAGGCATGAGCCACCCAACGTGATCTGTTTATGCTTTAGACTTTAGTTTTAAGAACTAGACTTAAGTTGTAAACCTAAAGTTACAGTTGGCATGCCCTTATTTATGGGAGACCAGCAAAGAATTTATCAATGATCTGTGAGGGCAGCCCTTTGCAGATGGCTGAGGCTTTTTTTTTTTTTTTTTTTTTTGAGATGGAGTTTCATTGTTGTTACACAGACTGGAGTGCAATGGTGCAACTCACCGTAACCTCCGCCTCCTGGGTTCAAGCAGTTCTCCTGGGCTGAGGATTTTTATCTTTCCTTGGGGATCTGGCTGTAGGATAATGCTAGTAACAGCCATTCATTTGGAAGGGGGTGTTGCAGTCACTTGGCCTCTGGGCTCAACCTTCCCTTTTGTGTAAGAAATTTGGGAGAGGTCCTGAGATTTTTTTTTTCCTTTACAAAAATAATAAAAGAAAAATACAAAGGCAGGGCATCACCAGGCTAAATTGCTGAAATTCTTTATACTTACCTGGAATGCGTGGGAGAATAGCAACTGTTATAAGGTTGATAGAGCGTGAGAGGTAATTTTGTAGTGAGGAGGGGTACCCAAAGAGAAAAAGGGCTAGCATCCCAGTGCAGGAATCCAGGTGGTCTGTGAACCTGCATGTGGGTTCAAAATACTTACCTGTTGGCTTAGAAAACCATATACCTGTATAGTACATGATATCCTATTTCTCAAACTTTTCCACAAATATATATTACACTTTTCCTAGGACGTGGGTACTAGGTTCCTGGTGCAACCTGTAGTAATTTCTTTGAAGTCTTTTGTTTATGAAAAATTTGCATTTTACTCATGTTTGCTTTAATGTGAAAAGTTTTCCCAGAAAATTTATATAAAATTGACGTTCCAAGAGGGTGTGCATTAAGAAATCAGTTTAAAATTAAGTTAGAAGAGAGCTGGCAAAATATAATTTATAGGCATTTAGCATTTCTTAAGCTCTTAGCTGTGTGCCAGGCACTAATCTAAGTGTTTTAAAGGTATAAACTTGTTAAGTGTTCAGAGCCATGTAGATACTGTTATCCTTATTTAACAGACAAGAAACTGAGCAACTGAGAGATCAGGTAACTTGCCTGAGGCTGTATAGGCTGAGTCGGAAATCAAACCCCGAGTCTGGCCTGATAGCCCTGGGGCTCTTGATTTTGTTATGTGAATATTCTGTTCCTATAAACAGCTGTCCATCTTTCAAATCACATCTATTCAGTTCTACTATTAGAGTATGTGAAGTACAGATGGTCCCTCACTTATGACAGTTTGCCTTGCAGTTTTTTGAGTTTACGATGGATTTCTCAGGGTACTACATGCATTTTTGGTTGGTATTTGTAACTTACAGCTTTACCAGGACATAACACCATTGTAAGTCAAGAAGTATCTGTGTGTCTCTGGACATGCAATGTGAAATCAAATCAAGGCCATAAAACAGTTGAATCTCATTATAAGAGTGACCTATCAGTGTCACTTGTAAGAACAAGAAAAATTCTATCTTTATGCAGACAGCATTTGGTTTTTAATTAAAAGGCTACTCTTTTTTTTTCAAAGAGGAAAACAAATCAACCTTTTTTTCAGCTCTCTCAGATGCAGAAATATAATCAGCAGCATCCCTGTGCAGGGAGTAATCATTAGGTTTTTTTTAGATTTTTAAAAATATACTTCATTATAGTTCACTGTATTCATTCTTTAATCAGGGATGTGAGGGATAGAATAACATTTAGAATATCCATACAGTTTATATATAATGTTCTTATTTCTTGTTGCCTTTATAGGTGGGAAACATCTAAAATCTCAAAAAGTAGAAGTCGACATCATAGATGACAACTTTATCCTGAAGTGGAACAGGATTGATGAGTCTCTGAGGAATGCGACTTTTTCATTCGATTATCAAAAGTATGTGACTCTGCTTACTGATTTGTCAGAATGACCTGAATAATTTTAACACCATAATTTTCAGATTTGGAAAGTATTTGGTTTTTCTATTTTTTAGAAATGTTCTGCCTATTTTACATAGTATTTTTAACTTTGTTTCTATAGAGACTTAGTCAAATACACCTTTGGGTGTTGAAGCAAAAGAAATTGGGGATGAGGGTGGTAGACAGCGTCTCCAACCCATAGCCATTCCTTCTTTCTTCTGGGTGTTCCAGCTTCTTTCAATATAAATTGAGGTCTGAATTAGGGTATATCTTGAAGATATGGGATAGTACTCCAAAAGGCCCATCCAAATCCTTGGAATAGGTCACCAGGCTTCTTGTGGTCAGGCTTTCCTGTTAGCTCCATGATATACTACATTTTAATTTTAGATACACTTTTTTTTTTTTTTGAGATGAAGTCTTGCTCTGTCACCCATGCTGCAGGCTGGATACTTTTTTTTTTTTTTTTTTTTTTTAAGATGGAGTCTTGCTCTGTTGCCGAGGCTAGAGTGCAGTAGTACAATCTCGGCTCACTGCAGCCTTCACTTCCTGGGTTCAAGCGATTCTCCTGTCTCAGCATCTTGAGTAGCTGGGATTACAGGCACATGCCACCATGCCTGGCTAATTTTTTTATTTTTAGTAGAGACAGGGTTTCGCCATGTTGGCCAGGCTGGTCTCAAACCCCTGACCTCAGGTAATTCGCTCACCTCAGCCTCTCAAACTGCTGGGATTACAGGCTTGAGCCACCGTCCTGACCTAGATACACTTTATAAATATATTGTTAGCCAGGCGTGGCCTGTGTCTGTAATCCCAGCTACTAGGGAAGCTGAGACAAAAGAATCACTTGAACCCGGGGGGCAGAGGTTGCTGTGAGCCAAGTTCACACCACTGCATTCCAGCCTGGGAGACAGAGCAAAACTCCATCTCAAAGATAAATAAATAAGGCTAGGCGCGGTGGCTCACACCTATAAACCCAGCACTTTGGGAGGGTAAAGCATGCAGATCACAAGGTGAAGAGTTTGAGACCAGCCTGGCCAATATGGCAAGACCCCATCTCTACTAAAAATGCAAAAATTAGCCAGATGTGATGGTACGTGCGTGTACTCACAGCTACTCGGGAGACTGAGGCAGGAATCACTGGAACCTGGGAGGCGGAGGTTGCAGTGAGCTGAGATTGCATCACTGCGCTCTAGCCTAGGCAACAGAGCGAGGCTCCGTCTCAAAGAAAGAGAGAGAGAGAGAGAGAGAAAAGAAAAAAAGGAGGACGGAGGGAGGAAAAAAGGCAGGCAGGCGGGCAAGCCTGAGCAACAGAGCGAGACTCCGTCCAAATAAATTAATTAATTGATTAAATTAAGAATCAATATTTTAGGCCCTGCATTTCCAAAGACTCAGATTTTCTAGAATGTCGATATCTCTTCTTTAGCACTTTCTGCTTAATAATTCAAGAGGAAAGGCAAACAGGAGGAGGAATATAGAAGGGAACGCAGATCAGGAAGTACAGTACCTTGCTTTCTGGTTAGGTGTTGAGGCCCCACCTGCTAACCATATTCCCCTGTCCAAGAAAAAGCAGGCAATTTAAGAAATAAGGCGTTAGCCCCTCCTGAACCAGGATCTCACCACTTAAGCCACAGTTGTGACACTGCTGTTCTCGAGTTGTAACTAAAACTGGGATACGAATCTCAAAGCTTCAGGAATTGCGTATGTGTATGTATGTATATACACATACACACACTGTATATATATGTATATACATGCACACACTGTATATATGTATACATGCACACACTGTATATATGTGTGTATACGTGCACACACTGTATATATGTGTGTATACGTGCACACACTGTATATATGTGTGTATACGTGCACACACTGTTTATATGTGTGTATACGTGCACACACTGTTTATATGTGTGTATACGTGCACACACTGTATATATGTGTGTATACGTGCACACACTGTATATATGTGTGTATACGTGCACACACTGTATATATATGATATACGTGCACACACTGTATATATATGATATACGTGCACACACTGTATATATGTGTGTATACGTGCACACACTGTATATATGTGTGTATACATGCACACTATATATGTGTATGTACATGCACACACTGTATATATATGTATGTACATGCACACTGTATATATGATATACATGCACACACTGTATATATATGTATGTATATATAAATGCATATATGACTTTTCTCAGAATTGATAAGTTAAAAATTTTTCTCTCTAGAGATTTTCATTAAATTGAACTTTGAGTTTTGTTACCAATTTTGTTTTTTCTCTTAGTTTGGAATTTCCTTATGAACAACTATTTTAAGTAGAGAAGAAATTATTTTAGATTACCCTTATTTAAAGTTACTTGTATAAAGAAAATATTTGCAAAATATATATCCAACAAGAGCTTAATATCAAAGAAACTCAATCAACAATAAAACCCAAATCCATCAAAAGGTGGGCAAAAGATAGGAAAAGATACTTTTCAAAAGAAAACATCCAATGGCCAACAGGTATATGAAAAAATGGTCAACATCACTAATCACCAGAGAAATGCAAACTAAACCCTCTGTGAGATATTGTCTCCCCTAGGTCAGAATGGCTGTTATTAAAAGGTAAAAAAAGCCCAGACATGGTAACTCACATCTGTATTCCCAGCACTGGGAGGCCAAGGCAGGTGGATCACCTGAGGTCAGGAGTTTGAGACCAGCTTGGTGAAACCCTGTCTCTGCTAAAATACAAAAATTAGCTGGGCATGGTGGCAGTCACCTGTAATCCCAGCTACTTGGGAGGCCGAGACAGGAGAATCCCTTGAACCCGGGAGGTGGAGGTTGCAGTGAGCCAAGATTGTGCCATTGTACTCCAGCCTGGGTGACAGAGCAAGACTCTGTCTCAAAAAAAAAATTGGTGAGGATGGGGAAATAAGGGAATTCTTACACACCATTGGCGGAATGTAAATTAATACAACTTCTATGGAAAGCAATATGGAGATTTCCCAAATAACTAAAAATAGTACTATCATTCCATCCAGCTATCACACTACTATCTACCCAAATGAAAAGAAATTATTATACTAAAAACAAACGTACTCTTATGTTCATCACAGCACTATTCAGAGTAGCAAAGATGTGAAATCAACCTAAGGTTCCATCAGTGGATGGCTGAATAAAGAAAACATGTTGTGTGTATGTGTGTGTGTGTGTGTGTGTGTGTATGTATGTATGTAAAATAATATATATTTGTATATATGTAAAATAATATATATTTTGTATATATGTATATATGTAAAATAATATATATTTTATATATATATGTGCAATGGGAATATTACTCAGCCATAAAGAGGAATGAAAGCATGTCTTTTGTAGCAACATGATGGAACTGGTGTCCATTAAGTGAAACAGGTCAGACACAGAAAGATAGTATTGTACCTTCTAAACAATGTATACACATGGCTGTGGAATGCAGAATGATAGCCATTGGAGACTTGGAAGGGTGAGGGGGTGGGAGGGATGGAGGATGAGAAATTACTTAATGGGTACAATGTATGTTTTTTGATGGATACCCTAAAAGCCCTGACTTCAACACTGCATAATATGTACATGTAACAAAACTGTACCTGTACCCCATAAATTTATACAAATACATACTTTAAAAAATAAAGCATAAAAAAATTTAAACATAAAGTTACCCTTATAATAAAGAACAAAAACCTACAATGTTCTCATACTTTTGTTCCGTCATACATTATTGCTTATACTAAATTCTTCAGTCCATGATAATCTTCTGCCCCCCATTCTGACTTTAGCACTGAATGCCACATTTCAGTGTGTTCTTATTTTATTTTGTTCCACCAGCTTTATAGACAGTTACCTTGCAAAAATATGGCAGACTACAAGTTTGTAGCATTGTGGTATGAACTTGAGGCTGGTCGCCTATAAATCCATCCTCTGCTAATTATTCTCTGTGTCTCAATTTCCTTTTCTGTTAAATTGAATTGATAACTAATATGGCAACATACAATTTAGCAGTCAAACTGGGATACTTTTGAGAGTAAAAAGAGCCCGTTAAATTGTAGATAAGCTGGAAGAACAAGCTTAAACCAGAAGTGCCCCAGGCATGCTGGGATGGGAAACCCTAGAAATAAGATAGCTAATGAAGAAGGTTCTTCTGAGTATTGAGTCATTTTATATAAAGTTCTCAGGAAGATGACACAGAGTAAGTGATCAATTTAAATGTAATTAATGTCAGCAGCAGACAGGTATTTTTTAACATAATATTTCTTAGAATATAGCACATTTACCACCAGTAATGAAACGCAGATGAATAAATAACTGTTACAATTCCAGTGCCTTATAGAACATATGTGACCTAAAATATCAGTGTTTATAACTTACATCTAAAATGTCGTATGTTTGTGATGTGAGGCATTCATTCTTTCATTCAACAAATATTTACTGGGGTGCGATGACTCACACCTGTAATCCAGCACTTTGGGAGGCCAAGGCTGGAGGATCACTTGAGGTCAGGATTTTGAGACCAACCCCTACAACAAGATGGAACCCCAGCTCTACTAAAAATACAAAAATTAGCCAGGTATGCTGGTGCATGCCTGTAATCCCTGCTACTTGGGAGGCTAAGGCAGGAAAATCACTTGAGCTCAGGAGGCAAAGGTTGCAATGAGCTGAGATCGTGCCACTGCACTCCATTCTGGCAATAAAGCAAGACTCTGTCTCAAAAAAAAAAACAAATACTGAATGTATTTCATGCCAAGCACTCTTCTGACTACTTAGGGATGCCTCAGTGAACGGGAGAAGTGAAGATGGCATGAAGTTGTATTATGAAATGGATTTCATGAAACAAATATTACATTGGTTACATATTCATATTTCAGATTATATTCTGTTCTGAGCTAATTATTACATGTGATAATGATTGTGTTTTTTTGGTGGTGGTGTTTGTTTTTTGAGTGGGAGTCTTACTCTTGTCGCCCAGGCTGGAGTGCAGTGGCGCATCTCAGCTCACTGCTACCTCCGCCTCCCGGGTTCAACTGATTCTCCTGCCTCAGTCTGTGGAGTAGCTGGGATTACAGGCACCCATTACCATGCCCAGCTAATTTTTGTATTTTAGTAGAGATGGGGTTTCACATATTGGCCAGGCTGTTCTTGAATTCCTGACCTCAGGTGATATGCCCACCTCAGCCTCCCAAAGTGCTGGGATTACAGGCATGAGCCATCGTGCCCAGCCAGATTTGTGTGGGTTTTTTTTTTTAGGAAAATATAAAAGTAGCTACTGCTGCAATATCTTGATTTGGTGTGAAAACGGTTTTAACGCAGCATGCATCAGCATCTTCTGAAACAGGAAAGACAGATGTGAACAGTGAGGTTGGGTTGAAATTATATTAAGTTTTAAATTTTTGATAAGGTTTTCTGTTTATAATGAGAGTTTCTGGATTTTTAGAAATAGATTCTGATATGGAACCTTTTGAGAATGTTTAAGGTATTTTTAATGCCAGCTCTAATCTCAGGCCTCAGATACATAAATTAGAAGTGAAAGCTAGCCAAGAATGAAGTATTTCATATGCTAGTGTATATTTTTGGTAATTTCTTAAAAATGTTTCCTTTATTAAAAATAAGATAGACTTGTATATGGGTCAGCAACAAAATTATTTTGGCATCATCTCTGGTTTCTAATATCTAAATCATCTTTAAAAATGGCATCTGTGATATTATTAAAAATAAATAAATCAGCTAATGAATTAGGCTTGACAAAAATGCCTTCCCAGAAGACAGTTTCTCGTTGACTTAAGGTCGATGAGCTTAAACGTGGGTAAAAATTTTGAAATCTGCTAAATTGGCCAGGCGTGGTGACTCACACCTACAATCCCAGCGCTTTGGGAGGCTGAGGTGGGCCGATCACCTGAGGTGAGGAGTTGTTCAAAATCAGCCTGGCCAACGTGGCAATACCCCCTGTTGTATTTTGTAAAAAAATACAAAAATTAGCCAGACATGGTGGCACACGCCTGTAATTCCAGCTACTTGGTAGGCGGAGGCAGGAGAATTGCTTCAATCTGGGAAGCGGAGGTTGGAGTGAGCTGAGATCGCACCACTGCACTCCAGCCTAGGCAACAGACTCAGGAAAAAAAAAAAAAGGAAAAGAAATCTAAGTTTATTTCTGTCCCTCAGTTTCCCTGCAAGCTCTTCTTCCCCTGTCTGGGTAACATGTCCTTTTCTGCTTTATACTCCATTCCCACTTGATTTCTTCATGTTTGTAGCTTTTTCAAAAGGAACAATCTAATATCACTTCAGCTTTCTGATTGGCCAGTTCTACTTCCAAAGACTTACTTGTTTATTTAAACATTTTAAGTTTCTTGGTTTCTGGCAATGTATAGAAGAAATTATTATAATAATAGGAGACAAGCAAGCAGAAGGGATGGTTTGCTTTTGGAGAGGGCAGAGGAAACCCTGAAACCATACTGATTCCGAGGTCTTTCTTTTTTTTTTTTTTTTTTTTTGAGACAGAGTCTCACTCTTGTGGTCCAGGCTTGAGTACAGTAGCGTGATCACTGCAACCTCCTCCTCCTGGGTTCAAGCAATTTTCCTGCCTCAGCCTCCCAAATAGCTGAGATTATAGGCGCCTGCCACTATACCCAGCTAATTTTTTGTATTTTTCGTAGAGACGGGTTTTCACCATGTTGACAGGATAGTCTCGATCTCTTGACCTCGTGATCCACCCGCCTCGGGTTCCCAAAGTGCTGGGATTACAGGAAAAATCAGTTTTATAAATAATAACTTGGCTTATATGCATTGAAAAAGGGTGGAAGGGTATACACTAAAATGTTAATAGGACATTAGCTCAAGTAGAAGAAATAACTCTTAAACCATAATAGCTTTATAATATCAGTAAATAGAAAGTATTTGACACATATTTATACATTTGCTCACTTATTTGTTTTTTTTACTTTAAAGATCTGGGACGGATAATTGGAGAAAATTGCCTGGGTGTCAGAATATTACTAGTACCAAATGCAACTTTTCTTCACTCAAGTTGAGTGTTTATGAAGAAATTAAATTGCGTATAAGAGCAGAAAAAGAAAACACTTCTTCATGGTATGAGGTTGACCCATTTACACCATATAACAAAGGTAAGAAAAAGTTGTTCGCTGAATTATGTTCTTAAGTAATTATTACTAGAGCAGTACACTTTCCAAGCCATTCATTTGCATGATGTAAAATCAAACGTCTTTTAAAAAGAACAAAAATTTCCTTAAATCCTCACTTCTTCCGGCTATGGCTCCGTTTTTTCCTACTTTCCCAATAGTGGTGGTTCTCAAAGAGTGTTCTCCAAGGCCCTTTCAGGGGGCCACAGAGACAAAGCTATATTTATAACAAATCGAAGACTTGCTTGCCTTTTTTTTTGTTTGTTTGTTTTCCTCGTGTTCACAGTGAAGTTTTCCAGAGAAGCCTGTTTGATGTGTGATGTGGTGATATGGTCACTAGCGAATTCTATGTAAATTTCATCTGCATTATTAATCTAAACATTCTAAAGATTTGAAAGAAAATGTAAAACAGCACTACTCTTGAGTTTTTATGTTCCTCGTAGCCAGTGTTCGTTACCATATAATAGGTTTTGTCATCGTTCTTTCTTTTTTTTTTTTTTTTTTTTTTGAAACGGAGTTTCGCTCTTGTTACCCAGGCTGGAGTGCAATGGCCCGATCTCGGCTCACCACAACCTCTGCCTCCTGGGTTCAAGCAATTCTTCTGCCTCAGCCTCCTGAGTAGCTGGGATTACAGGCACGCGCCACCATGCCCAGCTAATTTTTTGTATTTTTAGTAGAGACGGGGTTTCACCATGTTGACCAGGATGGTCTCAATCTCTTGACCTTGTGATCCACCCGCCTCGGCCTCCCAAAGTGCTGGGATTACAGGCTTGAGTCACCGCGCCCAGCTGTCATTGTTATTTCTTAATGGATTAATTAGTTAAAATGGATTGAAAACTTTATCATTTTTAATGTTTAATATGCTAATATAAAAAGATATAGCCCACATAAATAAAGGCTGTTTGGGAGTCTCAATCATTTCTTTAAGAATGTAAAATATCAACACTTTGGGAGGCTAAGGTGGGAGGATCACTTGAGGCCAATTGTTCAAGACCAGCCTAGGCAACACAGTGAGACCCCCCGCCACAATCTCTACAAAAAATATGTAAAAATTAGCCAGGCATGGTGGTGCACACCTGCAGTCCCAGCTATTCAGGAAGCTGAAGAGGGAGGGTGACTTGAGCCAGGGAGATCAAGATTGCAGTGAGCCATGTTTGTGCCACTGCACTCCAACCTGAGCAACAGAGCTAGATCATATCTCAAAAAAAAAAAAAAAAAAGGGAGGTTTCTGAGACCAAAAAGTTCGAGGACCACTGCCCTTTACCAAGAATGATGTGTACTCCCTTTCTGTACGACTTTTCTTCCCATTCCCTCTCAGCCCTTTCCATTCAAACTCTGTTCCTTAACACTATTAAAACTACTCTTCTCAAGGTCACAGCAGCCTCCACAATGCCAAGCAAATTCCCAGTCCTTTTCTGGCTTCATCCCTCTGTAGTACAGATGTGGTCATCACTAGTTTTTCCTTTACTGGATCTCTGGGGCGTTGCTCTTTCCTGGTTCTCCTCCTGCTCATTGATCACTTCATCTTCCAACTTTTCAGTGTTGGACTGCTGGGCTGTCATTGAAGCTCTTCACTTTGTGTGTCACTCCACTGGGGATCTCACAGCTTTCTATACCGTCTGTATGCTCTTGACTCCTAGAAGTGCCAGGCACATATTAAGTGCTCAGAATTATTTGTTGAATGAAGGTTTGGGCATTGTATTAATAAAGATCTGTTGGGAAAAGTAGCAAAGGAGAAAGGACTTACAGAGTGCCTACATAAATTGGTTACGAGTAACACGTAAACAAGGTACAACAAGAGGAAGGCCTCTCCATGCCTCATGTTCCAGTGCAGGGTGACCTCGGCTCTGTTACCATAAACATTGTGCTCAAGGATGTAAAACCCCTTCATAGCATTATGACGTAGCCAGACTTGTAGGCTCCTTGTAAGGTCCCTGTTCCACCAACTGTACATAGATAATAAGCTAAAGATAACCACGTGTTCTTGTTTTGTGAAACTTCCAACCCGCCCTGTTATCCTTAGGATGACACAGCAGTTCTGGCCACTGATTCACTCCGCCATCACTCCACCCCATCCTATAGATCAAAGTGATTGTAATCAATAAATAGTGTGGATGATCAGAGTTCGGGGCCTTCACTGTCTACTCCAGTAATAAGTGATGGCCCCCTGGTCCCACTTTCTCTCTTAATCTGTCTTTTTCTCATTCCTTTGTCACCACTGAACTCTGGGTACCCATGGGTGATGTAGGGCTAGTAACCTCCAAAGATCCATAGTAATTCTTTCGATTTTTTTTGCAGCTCAAATTGGTCCTCCAGAAGTACATTTGGAAGCTGAAGATAAGGCAATAATGATAAACATCTCTCCTCCTGGAACAAAAAATAGTGTCATGTGGGCTTTGGATGGTTTAAGCTTTAGATACAGCTTAGTTATCTGGAAAAACTCTTCAAGTGGAGAAGTAAGCATTATTTTTACCTTTGTTTAATCGATGTGAGAGAAAAATAAGGTGAATTAATCTTAAAATTTGACCTTATACTTTTTTAAAGAACCAACTTCTATTTTTATTATAGGAAGAGATTAAAAATATTTGTTCCATACATAAAATTTATAAACTTTCACCAGAGACTACCTATTGTTTAAAAGTTAAAGCAGCACTACCCAAGGCATCAAAAGTTGGTCTCTATGGTCCAGTATATTGTATAAAGACCACAGGTAAGGAAGATGTTTTGCTTCAGATTCAATAAATATATATACAGATTATCTACAATAATTTTGGCATTTTTTCCATATTTGCTGAAGTTTATATGATAGGTTAATATAGATTAAAACAAAAACATTAGAACATTTACAAAAGCAAAATAAATGTTATTTGGAATTTTTGTCTCAAATGGTGATGAAAATTAATTGTACTTAAAAGTTCAGGCTGGGTGTGGTGGCTCATGCCTGTAATCTCAGCACTTTGGGAGGCTGAGGTGGACAGATCACTTAAAGCCAGAAGTTCGAGAACAGTCTGGGCAACATGATAAAACCCCGTGTCTATTAAAAATACAAAAAAAAAAATTAACCTGGTATGGTGGCATGTACCAGTAGTCCTAGCTACTTGGGAGGCTGAGGCATGAGAATCCCTTGAACCCGGGAGGTGTTCGTTGCAGTGAGCCAAGATCATGCCACTGCACACCTGTGGGGAGCAAGTGAGACAAAGAGCAAGGCTCCATTTTAAAAAAGAGAAAAAAGGCCAGGCGCGGTGGCTCACACCTGTAATCCCAGCACTTTGGGAGGCTGAGGGGGGGGATCATGAGGTCAGGAGTTCAAGACTAGCCTGGCCAACATGGTAAAACCCTGTCTCTACTAAAAATACAAAAATTAGCTGTACATGGTGGTGCATACCTGTAGTCCCAGTTACCCAGGAGGCTGAGGCAGGAGAATCGCTTGAATCCCAGAGGCAGAGGTTGCAGTGAGCCAAGATTGCGCCCCTGCACTCCCTCATTGGCAACAGAGCAAGACTCCGTCTCAAAAAAAAGAAAAAAAAATTCAGATATTTTGTAATGACAAAACTATTCATTTGTTCAGAATCCACGTAAGGGGGTGGGTAGCTGAACTGTGGGTTCTGCAAGCAGGAAGCGGTATACTGTCAGGAAGAATAACTTGTCTACTAGTTATTAGAGTAATTTGTCTACTAGTTATTAGAGTAATTTGTCTACTAGTTATTAGACAAGTTACTCTTCCTGAAAGTATACCTTTATAAGTGGAATGTTAAAACATGACAGCATCCTGATGTATTTACACCTTTCTAGTAATTAAGGTCAAGGGGAGGAGCTGGGATTTATTATTTTCATTGTAAACTTTATACGCTTTATTTTTTTCATCAAACATTACAGAAGAGTTTGAAGTGAAGTCGTCTTTTCCCTTCTTAGCCCAATTCCATTCACCAGAGATGAGCCTTGCTTAGCAGTTTGTGTATAACCTTTCACAGCTGTTTCCAGAGCTTACGTAACCATATACACAGACCCACAGTTTCTTGGGTTTTGTTTTTTAAATTGCAAAATAAAATCTTACTAGATGTACTTTACAGCTTGCTTACTTAACCCAGTGTGTTGGGGATAACATTCTGTATTAGTCCGTACAGATCTATTACATTCTTCATTTAATCTTAGCATTCTTTTTTTTTTTTGAGACATAGCCTCACTTTGTTGCCCAAGCTGGAGTGCAGTGGCATGATCTCGGCTCATTGCAACCTCTACCTCCCAGGTTCAAGCAATTCTCCTGCCTCAGCCTCCCAGGTAGCTGGGATTACAGGCATGTGCCACCACACCCAACTAATTTTTGTATTTTTAGCAGAAATGGGGTTTTGCTATGTTGGCCAGGCTGGTCTCAAACTCCTGACCTCAGGTGATCCATCCACCTCAGCCTCCCAAAGAGCTGGAATTACATGCTTGAGCCACTGCACCTGGCCTGTATTCTTTCAAATGGCTAGGTAGTATTACATAGTGTGAATAAAAACCATGTTTAATTACCTTATAATGATAAAAATCTGAGCCTTTATCTTCTTGCCAGTTATCTCACTTGAGTAAAGATGTATGCTATTTTTTAATATATATTTTCTTTGGCTTCTAGTTGAAAATAAACTACCTCCACCAAAAAATATAGAAGTCAGTGTTCTAAATCAGAGCTACGTTCTTAAGTGGGATTATGCATATGCAAATATGACCTTTCAAGTTCAGTGGCTCCAGTAAGTTCTATTCCATACATTTCCTTTTGCCCATTGTGTTTTGATTATGCTTCTTTTCACTCCTTGCACACAGAATGACCGACTGGGAGGTGGGTATGATATTGGAAACTTGAGAAATCTCATTTCTAACCCTAGTTCTGCCAGTAACTAACCTCTGTTGGCCTTAATTTTTTCACTTGTAAAATAGATGTATGTGTTGTAATATCTAGGGTTCTTACTGGCTTAAAAAAAAAGGTGTGACTAGTTACTTGTGTTATTTCCCCAACCTGGGATACTTGACACTGACCTTGATATTTGTTTTTTCTTTTTTTGAGATGGAGTGTTTTTTTTTTTGAGAAGGAAAGAAAAAAAAAGGAGTGAAGGAAGAAAAAGAGGGAGAGAGAATGGAAATGTTGCTTTATTCTAAAAAATGGGTATTAATAATGGCCAGTCAATATTTCATTTAAACCTCTGAGTAGGTGTGATATGGTATTGACAAGAATGTATATTTTGTGTATTTAAAGTGGAGAGCTCTATAAATATTTATTAAGTTTACTTGTTCCGAATCTGAGTTCGAGTCCTGGATATCCTTATTAATTTTCTATCTCATGGAGTCTAAGTCTCTATGTATCTGGGTGTTGGAATCATTAGCTCTTATTGTTGCATTGATCCTTTTACCACTATATCTTTGTTGCTTTAAAATCTGTTTTATCAGATGCGAGAATTGCAACTCGTGCTTTTTATTTATTTATTTGTTTGTTTGTTTATTTATTTATTTATTTTTGCTCTCCATTTGGTTGGTAAGTCTTTCTCCATCCCTTTGTTTTGAGTCTTTTTGTATCCTTGCATGTGAAATGGGTCTGGATGTAGCATACTGTTGGGTTTTGGCTGCATCTTTTGATTGGGGGATTTAGTCAATTTAAATTTAGGGTTACTGCCATTTGATGTTAACTGGCTGTTTTATCCATTCGTTGATGTAAATTCTTCTTTATGTTGATGCTCTTTACTTTTTGGTATATTTTTAGAAAGGCTAATACTGGTTGTTTCTTTCTAAGTGTAATGCTTCTTTCAGAAGCTCTTGTAAAGCAGGCCTGGTGGTAATAAAATCTCTTGAGTGCTTGCTTGTTCATAAAAGATTTTATTTTTCCTTCAGTTGTGAAGCTTAGTTTGGCTGGATATGAAATTCTGGGCTGAAGGTTCTGTTCTTTGAGGATGTTGAATATTGGCCCCCACTCTCTTCTGGCCTGTGGAGTTTCTGCTGAGAGATCTGCTGTAAGTCTGATAGGCTTGCCTTTGTGGGTAACCTGACCTTTCTCTCTGGCTGCCTTTAGTATTTTCTCCTTCGTTTCAACCCTGGTGAATCTAACGATTATGTGCCTTGGGATTGCTCTTCTTGAGGAATATCTTTGTGGTGTTCTCTGTATTACCTGGGGTTGAATATTGTCCTGCTTTGCTAGGTTAGGAAAATGTTCCTGAATTATAGCCTGAAGAATATTTTCCAGCTTGGATTCATTCTCTCCGTCGCATTCAGGTACACCTATCAAACGTAAATTAGGTCTTTTCATATAGTCCCACATTTCTTGGAGACTTTGCTCATTCCTTTTTATCCTTTTTTCTCTAATCTTGTCTTCTCGTTTTATTTCATTAAGTTGGTCTTCGACCTCTGATGTCCTTTCTTCTGCTTGATCAATTCCAGTGTTTAAACCTGTGCATACTTCTTGGCGTTCCCGTATTGTATTCTTCAGTTCCATTAATTCACTTATGTTACTCTCTAAATGGTCTATTCTCATTAGGATTTCATCAAACCTTTTTTCAAAGTTCTTAGTTTCTTTACATTGGGCTACAACATGTTCTTTTAACTCACAGAAGTTTCTTATTATCCATCTTCTGAAGCCTGATTCTGTTAATGGGATGCACTCGTTCTCCATCAGGCCTTCTTCCCTTGTTGATGAGGAACTGTGATCCTCTTTAGAGGGAGAGGCATTCTGATTTTGAGTATTCTTAGCCTTTTTACGCTGGTTTCTTCCCATGATTGTAAATTTATCCAGCTGTCGTCTTTGTAATTACCAACTTTCAAATTAGGTCTCTGAGTGGACGTCCAAGTTGTTAATTCCCAGAGCCGAAATATGAGCAACCCACTGCACCAGCCAAAACAGCGGCGTTAAGACCGATGGTGCTTTTCTGCCCAGGAATCTCCAGTCTGGCTTCCTTCTTGAGTCCTTACGAGGCGACTCTGCCTTCCTGGAGCTCCAAACGTCGGTCAGAAGGGGAACCAGTCCCGTTTACTCTGCACCAAGAGCTGCCATGCCGAAGTGTTGGCAAAACCGCTGTGGCGGCCACAAGAGTCACGCTGGCGACTCGTGGGGCTCCTCCACTGGGAATCTTCTGCTCCGTGAGCGACAAAAATTTGTCTGAAAGTGTGGCGTCCTCTCGTTCTCTGCACTTTCACTGGGAGCTGCAATCCCGAGATGTTAGCGATCAGCCATCTTGGATCGTTCTCGAGATGGAGTCTTGCTCTGTCACCCAGGCTGGAGTGCAGTGGCACAGTCTTGGCTCACTGCAACCTCTGCCTCCAGAGTTCAAGCAGTTCTCTGCCTCAGCCTCCCAAGTGGCTAAGATTACAGGTGCCCACCACCCCACCCAGCTAATGTTTTTGTATTTTTAGTAGAGACGAGGTTTCACCATATTAGCCAGGCTGGTTTTGATCTCCTGACCTTGTGATCCACCCGCCTCAGCCTCCCAAAGTGCTGGGATTACAGACGTGAGCCACTGCACCCGGCCTGATCTTTTTCTTAAGAACTCACTTCTTCCATGAGTCCTTCAAATGGCCTCAGTCAACTTGCTTGTTCAATTCAAAAACTTAGCCTTCCTATTTTCTTTATTACTTTAGTGGTTTTGACAAAATTTTGTAGTGGTTACTTCAGTGGGAAATTAGTGAAAGTTGGAAAGAACTGTGTTCTGTGTGGTTGAGTAGAGACTAGCTAAATACAGATGAAATCTAGGCACTGCATAAATGAAAGAGAAATGGCCAGGTGCAGTGGTGCATGCCTATAGTCCCAGCTACTCAGTGGGCTGAGGCAGGAGGATTACTTGAGGCCAGGAATTAAGGCTACAGTGTGCTCTGATCACACCCACAGATAGCCACCACACTGCAGCTGGGGCAACTGAGATCCCCATCTCTAAAAACTAAAATTAAAAAACTCATAAAAGAAAACTGCATGTAGTTTATATTGATTGGAAAATTATAGGGGATGAATAGAGAAAAGGAAAATTAAGTAGAAGAAAAAGTGGGTTATGGGGAGAAAAGAGATAGAAAGATATACATTGGGCCGGGCGCGGTGGCTCAAGCCTGTAATCCCAGCACTTTGGGAGGCCGAGGCGGGTGGATCACGAGGTCAAAAGATCGAGACCATCTTGGTCAACCTGGTGAAACCCCGTCTCTACTAAAAATACAAAAAAAATTAGCTGGGCATGGTGGCGCGTGCCTGTAATCCCAGCTACTCAGGAGGCTGAGGCAGGAGAATTGCCTGAACCCAGGAGGCGGAGGTTGCAGTGAGCCGAGATCGCGCCATTGCACTCCAGCCTGGGTAACAAGAGCAAAACTCTGTCTAAAAAAAAAAAAAAAAAAAAAAAAAAAAAGAAAGAAAGATATACATTGGTGACAGAGGAATAGAGAGAGCAAAGGGAAGTATAGCTAGGACAGGAAGGAAAAGTTAGAAAAGACTGGAAAGAGAAAAAGTGAGGGAGAAGGGAGGTGTGAGTACTGCTGTGATCAGTTTCTCTCCATCTTTTAGTGTTAATTTTGAACCAAGGGTGACTGGTAGGATGGAAATGTATTCATGTGCATATGTGCCCCACAATACATATATAACCTCACAAACCAACCAGGAAACTGTTCAGTAATCTTTTGTGTATACCTCACTTTCAGCAGTGAATAGATAATAGGGTCACCAAATAGATAATGATAGGGATTTCTGATGGCTGATCTCTAAGCTTCTTTTAGGTACTTAGCACATTGTACTGGAGAAATGGAAAGAGTCAACAGAATGAAACATGGTTCTAGAAATTTAAAGCAGTTAGCCGACGCTGCAAAGCATTGTGTGGTTTAGGACTGAAGAGTATATACAAATGATAAGGGTTCAGAAATGGAAAATGTAAAGGTGAATAGGGGCTAAAGAGACCAAAGAAGCCACAAGGAAAGAGATGAGGTATGAACAAGGCCTTGATTGTTAATTCATATTTTTCTAAGTAGACGAGTATTAGGTACTAGTTTTCCATTTCTGTAACAAGTTACCACAGACTTAGCAACTTAAACAGCTGTTTATTGTCTCAAAGTTTCTGTGAGTCAGGAGTCCAAACATGGCTTAGCTGCATCTTCTGCTAAGCAGTCAAGGTGTCAGTCTCACACGTGACTCAGGGTCCGCTCCCAAGCTCACATGCTGTTGGCAGAATTTATTTCTTGCAGCTCTAGAACTCATGGGGGCTCGCTTCTCAGAGGCCATCAGGAAGGGAGAGTCTGACCTTTAGATCCTTTTTTTTTTTTTGAGATGGAGTTTCACTCTGTCACCCAGGCTGGAGTGCAATGGCATGATCTTGGCTCACTGCAGCCTCCAGCTCCTGGGTTCAAGTGATTCTCCTGCCTCAGCCTCCTGAGTATCTGGGACTACAGGCATACACCATGCCTGGCTAATTTTGTTTGTATTTTTTTTGTTTGTTTGTTTGTTTGTTTTTGAGACAGAGTCTCTGTCACCTAGGCTGGAGCTCAGTAGCACAGTCTTGGCTCACTGCAACCTCCACCTCCTGAGTTCAAGCAATTCTCCTGCCTCAACCTCCTGAGTAGCTGGAACTATAGGCACGTGCCACCATACCCAGCTAATTTTTGTGGTTTTAGTAGAGACAGGGTGTCACCATGTTGGTCAGACTGGTCACAAACTCTTGGCCTCAAGTGATCTGCCAGGCTTAGCCTCCCAATGTGCTGGGATTACAGGCGTGAGCCACCGCGCCTGGCCTTGATGCTCTTTGAAGGGGCTCATCTATTTAGGTCAGGGCCACCCAGGATAGTCTCTCATTTGATTAACTAGGAATCAACTGATTTGGGACCTTAATTACATCTGTGAAATACCTTCTTCTCTGCCACTTAATGTAACCTAATTATAAGAGGAGGGCCCCCATCAAATTTACAGATCTTGCCCATACTCAAGGGGAGGGGATTATACAGGATGAGTGCTTCAGGGGGCAGGAGTCTTGGGGGCCATATCAGAATTTTGCCTTCTCCAGTGGGGAGGATGTCTTTCTATGGGGGGAATACAGTGATCCGAGATCACACCACTGCACTCCAGCCTGGAGTAGGGCAGCAGAACATTGAGACACCAGATTGCAATAGGAAGAAAGCTGAATAAGTAGAATGGGACAAGATTAGGGTCAGCCTCAGTCTGTCCTATACGCTTTTGGGATTTTATGTTGGGGTGACAGTTAACCTGAGCTCTGGATTTGAGGAAGGTACACATGATGACATGGTACGTGGGGCAGTGGACTAAGGAGACACTAGGGAGAGACAAGGAAACCAGTTAGGAGGCTGTTAGAGTTCTGGGCTGGAGCTGAGATGCTTTTAGCTGTTGCTTTCTGAGCAAGCTGCTTAACCTCTTCAGTCTCATGCTTTTATACCTGCTCCCATAACACTGTGGCGGGTCTCTGTCGTAGCGCTTTTCAGTTGGTATGCTGGCGCATGTTTAGCAGCTGGCTTTCCAAAAAGAAAATGTCCTATTTTGTAGTGTTTGCTTATTTTTATGATATAAATATTTCCACCATGGCCACTTTCTAGCTACCAGCCTGTTGTCCCTGAACATGGAGTTGGAAGATAGGCACAGTAGCACCCCATTATCATCCAGCTACAATACAGAAAGATAGCACCAAGAGCATAGACAAGAAAATGAAGTAAAAGAATTAGGACAAGATGGAATTTTGAGTATTTATTACCTCTGTCTTTAAAAATGTTTTATTTGCAAATTTTTAATAATGGTTTTCATTTAAAACCCAGCTTGCACTTTGGGAGGCTGAGGCAGGTGGATCACCTGAGGTCAGGAGTTCGAGACCGGCCTGGCCAACATGGTGAAACCCTGTCTCTACTAAAAATACAAAAATTAGCCGGGCATGATGGTGTGTGCCTGTAATCCCAGCTACTCAGGGGGACAGAGGCAGGAAAATTGCTTGAACCCAGGAGGCAGAGGTTGCATTGAGCTGAGATCCCACCACTGTACTCCAGCCTAGGTGACAGAGTGAGACTCCATCTCAAAAGAAAAAAAAAAAAAAAAAAACACAAACCGGCTTGCAGTGTTTCCTGGAAATTCTAACATGTTCTTCCGCATTGCTATGAACCACCTCCAGCAGAGAGAGCACTTTCTCACAGTCTGCAGCAGTCTTCCGGTTTTCTTTTATGATAGATGCTTATCTCTTCCACTGTTTGTGAGTTTCCTGAGAGTGGATACTGTTTATTTCTGTAACCTTAGCCCCTAACATAGTATCTGGCAGATTGTAAATACTTAATAAATATTTATTAAATTACAGTGTGGTTGAATTTAAAAATTTTTTGTCTTAAAAGAGCCTTTTTAAAAAGGAATCCTGTGAACCATTCGAATAAATGGAAACAAATGCCTGACTGTGAAAATGTCAAAACTACCCAGTGTGTCTTTCCTCAAAATGTTCTCCCAAATGGAATTTACCTTCTCCGCCTACAAGCATCTGATGGAAATAACACATCTTTTTGGTCTGAAGAGATAAAGCTTGATACTGAAATACAAGGTAAGGCAGTAGGTTTTACTTGAGATTGTAATTCTCTGATTGTTGCAAGTTCTTAAAATTGTTTTTCTAATTGAACATTGTGTCCTTATAAATTTTTTCTAGCTTTCCTACTTCCTCCGGTCCTTAATGTTAGATCCGCTAGTGATTCATTGCATATCTATATTGGTGCTCCAAAAGAGTCGGGAAGCAAGCCTGTGAGCCAGGATTATCCACTCACTTATGAAATTATTTTTTGGGAAAACACTTCAAATGCTGAGGTAAAAAGACTGTATAGTATTATTTCATAACTTAGAGTTATAACTATGATTTAGGTAAATAAAGCTTGAATTTAAAATTGGGGGGAAATTTTTTACTTTATGTGGGCTGGGTGCAGTGGCCTGTAATCCCAGCAGTTCAGGAGGCCGAGGTGAGACAATCGCTTGAGCCAAGAGGTTTGGGACCAGCATGGGCAACATAGAGAGACCCTGTCTCAACAAAAAATGTTATAATAGCCTGGTGCAGTGGTGTGCACCTGTATTCCCAGCTACTTAGGAGGCTGGGGTGGGAGGATTGCTGGAGCCTGGGAGGTGAAGGCTGAAATGAGCTATCATCATGCCACTGCACTCCAGCCTGGGTGACAGAGTGACTAACAGCCTGTCTCAAAATAAAAAAATATTTTTAAAAATGTGATTAACTAAGGTATTTACGGTATGAAGAACATGAGCATTTTTCATATTTTGCATGGTAGAGTTATGGGTGAGCTGCGTCTGGGCCCGTTTGCTTTCAGAATACAGACTCCTGAGCCTGTTGTTGTTACTAAGTGAGACTCTGGGGATGGAACTCAGGAATTTGCATTTTTAACATGATTCCCATGTATTCATCTAAACCCGGGTTTCTCAGCACTGTTGACTTTTGGGCCGGATAATTCCTTGGGAGGGGCTGTCCTGTGTGGTGCAACATCCTGGTTTCTACCCACAAGATGCCTGTAGCGTTCCTTCCTAGTTGTGAAACCAAAAACATCTCCAGATATTGTCAAATGTCCCCTGGTGGCACCTCCAAGGGGACAAAAATTGGTTCTTATGGGACAAAAGAATCTTAGATCGTACAATTGTTTGTGTTGCTCCAAAAGCATTGGAAAGCATTCTCCCAAAGTTAGCTTTGCCCAACAAAACCGTATTCCTTAGTATTTAATTTTATGATGGGGAAGGATTAGAAAAACATTGTCCGAAAGTTGTTTAGTGGGGGAGGTAATGAGAAAAGAGTTGACAAACACTGGTCTAAACCCTAAAATTCAGATACCGCTGACAGAGATAACATACACCATCAGCTAATCCCTGTTCCCTAGACTACTTTTCCCTTGTGGAATTATAGTCAGGGATCGACCTTTAAAAATCCTGTGCAGTCAGGCTGGTAAATTCTTTGACTCCATTTTCTATTGGGAATCTAAGCAAATTCCATTGATTGGGCTGCTTCCCTTTTTAACTGTCTGACAACACTGTAACCACAGCATAATGTAGCCCACTGAGAATTATGGTCAGTTTTCAGATGCCTGTAGATCAGACAAACCTAAGTTTGTATCTCACACTACTAAACTGTGTGACCTTACGCAAGGTGCTTTACCTCTTGGGGACTTTGCTTCCTCTTCTCTGAAGTGGTGGTAATCATAGCAACTAAACTTTTCAAAAGGATGTTTATAAGGTTTAAAAGGAAGTAACAAATATTAAAATACCGAGTACACTGCTGGACAAGTAATAGAGATTCAATAAATTGTAGTTGCCATCTTGTCCTATACTGGGTAATACATCAATAATTATAGAAACTCTTATTGAGGCCAGACATGGCAGCACACGCCTGTAATCCTAGCACTTTGGGAGGGAGAGGAGGGTAGATCACTTTAGGTCAGGAGTTCGAGACCAGACTGGGCAACATGGTGAAACCCCATCTCTACCAAAAATACAAAAATTAGCTGGGTATGGTGGCACACGCCTGTAATCCCAACCACTTGGGAAGCTGAGGAAGGAGAGTTGCTTGAACCCAGAGGGTGGAAGTTGCAGTGAGCCGAGATCACACCACTGCACTCCAGCCTCTGCAATGGGAGTAAGACTTCATCTCAAAAAAAAAAAAAAACTTAGTGAATACTTATGTGTAAGGTACTATGCTAAGTATTGTACATGAATTGTCTCGATCATTCTTCAAAACAACCCTGCCGGATGATATAATCAGTTAAATTGCTGTTTGGCAAATACTTGGGATGGTGCCTTCATCCATGCATCACTGGACTGTGGTTGCTGGAGCCCGAGTAGATATACTGAGAGCAGAGGCCTTAAGTGTGCTTTCAGGGTTTGGCCTGGTGGAGCCAACCTAAACCCCATGCATGGCCTCCATGGGAACTCCCCGGCCAATCTGTAGACTTGTGAGTGAGAAAACTACCTAATTATGCTGTGAGCCACTGAATGTTGAGGTGGTTTTGCTATACATTTATGTATGTATTCAGGTTCTCATTCTGTTGCCCAGGCTGGAGTGCAGTGATGTGATGTCAGCTCACTGCAGCCTTGACTTCCTGGTCTTAAGTGATCCTCTCATCTCAGCTTCCCAAGTAGCTGGGACTACAGGCACATGCCATCATGCCCAGCTCATTTTTTGTATTTTTTATAGAGATGGAGTTTTATCACCATGTTGCCCAGGTTTTTGTTTTTGTTTTTACTTCCTCAGCCTCTTAAGTAGCAGAGACTACAGGCTCATGCCACCATATCTGGCTAATTTTTTTTTGAAATTTCTTGTAAAGACAGAGTCTCGCTATGTTGCCCAGGCTGATCTTGAACTCCTGGGTTCCAATGATCCTCCTGCTTGACCTCTCAAAGTGCTGGGATTACAGGTGTGAATCCCAGGCAAGCCCACGCAGGCAAGACCACACAGCTGGAAGCGATACCGCTTAATAAGGAAGCACACAGCTGGAAGCGATACCTCTTAATAAGGAAGTTTGAGGCCAGTTCTCTTGACCATTTTGACACTAATCAGAGGTAATACAATGGCAGTTACACCAGACCTAGCATGGACTTATCAATAAATTCGAGTTCTCTTAGGAATATATCCTATGCTTTTTTGGCAGGAGCATTTTTAACTTTCTGATTTGGTTATAATGGGTTCTCTGAAACAAATTTACATTTTATTTATTTATTTTTTAATGGAGTCCCTCTCTGTCACCCAGGCTGGAGTGCAGTGGTGCAGTCTCGGCTCACTGCAGCCTCTGCCTCCTGGGTTCAAGGCATTCTCCTGCTTCAGCCTCCTGAGTATCTGGGATTACAGGCATGCACCATCATGCCCGGCTAATTTTTGTATTTTTAATAGAGATGGGGTTTCACCATGTTGGTCAGGCTGGTCTCGAACTCCAGACCTCATGATCTGCGTGCCTCGGCCTCCCAAAGTGCTACTGGGATTATAGGCGAGAGCCACCATGCCCTGCCAACAAATTTATATTTCTTAAACATATACCCTGTAATCCTAGCACTGGCCAACATGGTGAAACCCCATCTCTATGAAAAAAAAAAAAAAAAAATTAGCTGGGTGTGGTGGCATCTGCATCTGTAATCCCAGCTACTCAAGAGGCTGAGGCAGGAGAATCGTTTGAACCTAGGAGGAGGAGGTTGCCGTGAGCCCAGATTGCACTACTGCATTCTAGCCTGGGTGACAGAGTGAGACTTTGTCTCAAAAAAAAAACAGCACATTCCAACTACGTAGGAGAGGCCAATCTTAGATTGAACATAAAAGAATTGAGAAACTACATATTTCCTGATTTCACGAGGTGACTACATTTTATCAATGATTTAATTATGTTTTCTAGAGAAAAATTTTCAAGAATAAAACTGATTTTATTGTTCCTAATTTGAAACCACTGACTGTATATTGTGTCAAAGCCAGAGCTCACGCCATGGATGAAAAGTGGAATAAAAGCAGTGCTTTTAGTGATGTAGTGTTTGTGAAAACAAAACCAGGTCAGAATCTTTTATTGTCTTTTTTTAAAAATGTAACTAGACATAATAAAAGTAATTCAATACTGTACATTGAAAATTGTAAAACATTTTCTCTTTACTGCAAAAAATATATAGAATGTTTTCTGCATGAACTATATGAATCAAAAGTAGACTTTTTAGAAAATACTTGTAATGCTTAATTCTCAATTCAGCGTTTTTGAGTGCTTTATATTTCATCTAGTGTCCATATAATTAATTTTCTTAATTAGTTGCTCTTTAACATTTAATATGACTATTAGTTTTTAATTTTTTAAATATAATCCTTAACATATTTATCATGTGGAAATCACTTAGTTCAACTGAATTTTTTTTATGTGGGAACTGGTTTAGTCTCGTTTTCTGTTTTACAGTTTCTAGTGTTGACTGGTAGAGGCTTAGTCACAGCATATCTATTAAAGTTTGCTGGTTGTATGACTTAAAAGTGCTGAAGGATGCTTGCATGTTTGGCTTGTATGTCAGTATCGTCTTCCTCTCTGAGGTTCTCTTACTTCAGTTCCACACCAATCTTTAAATGTAAACGTCATTGTCTGTAGTAGCTGTGGACTCAGTGCTACCAGAAATATTTTTAAGGGTATTATTTAGGCCAGGCAGAGTCTCACACCTGTAATCCCAGCACTTAGGGAGGCTGAGGCAGGTGGATCACTTGAGGTCGGGAGTTTGAGACCAGCCTGACCAACATGGAGAGAAACCCCATCTCTACTAAAAATACAAAATTAACTGGGCATGGTGGCACATACCTGTAATCCCAGCTACTCTGGAGGCTGAGGTAGGAGAATCGCTTGAACCTGGGAGGTGGAGGTTGTGGTGAGCTGAGATTGCATCATTGCACTCCAGCCTGGACAATAAGAGTGAAACTCTGTCTAAAAAAAAAAGTATTGTTTAATAGATTTTATATTTCCTTTCATATGGCTAGTCTTTCACATAAGCGATCGGCACTGTTAAGACATTTGTATGTCAAAACATTCATGCTAAACATCACGTATGTATTTTTAGGAAATGCATCTAAAATTTGGTTTATAGTTGGAATTTGTACTGCATTATTTGCTATCCCAGCTCTCATTTATGGTGTGAAAGTCCTCCTGAGATGCATCAATTATGTGTTCTTTCCATCACTTAAACCTTCTTCCAATATAGATGAGGTATGTTGCTTTTTGTATTTTTTTGTCAACAGCTAGGAAATGAACAGGAAATGTGTTTGATTTCAACAGGATATATCCAGAAAATAATAGAAACTGATTTGGGTATTTTATTCAAAGTTTTAGTCAATTAACTTTAGAAACAGTAATTTAATAATATAGCATGGGATAGAAATGATTGTCCTTAATTCCCTATTTTTCTGGCAACTCTGGCAATTCCTAGATTCACTGTGGCATTTGTTTAATCATTTAAAGTCTGTGATTCTTGGCTGGGCACAGTGGCTCACACCTGTAATCCCAGCACTTTGGGAGGCTGGCTCATTTGAGGTGAGGATCACTGGAGGATCCATTTTGTGGATCACTTGAGGTCAGGAGTTCGAGACCAGCCTGGCCAACATGGTGAAACTCTGTCTCTACTAAAAATATACAAATTAGTTGGGCGTGGTGGCACTCACCTGTAATCCCAGTTACTCAAGAGGCTGAGGCAGGAGGATCACTTGAACCTGGGAGCTGGAGGTTGCAGTGAGCTGAGATCACGCCACTGCACTCCAGCCTGGGTGACAGAGTGAGACTCTGTCTCTAAGGAAATAAAGTCTATGATAGGATTCTTCACAGCACAGACGTCCCCGACTTACACTGTTTCAATTTGTGATGTATTTGTCAGGACATAATCCCATCGTAAGTTAGGAGCATCTGTATATATCCAGAAGCCTGAAATATTCTACCAGTGTAGAAAGTGTATTTTATGGATGAAATCACATAAAACGAAATAACTGAAAACATGAGAATTGTTTTTTATGACCCAGCGCAGTTTTTTGTTTGGCACTTCTATGAAGTTAGAATATTAAATGAAAGCACTATATGTCAACGCCTAAGCACAGAATCTGTTCCTGGGAAATGATGGGTTCATCTAGGGTGGGTTTTGTGAACTTGAGCAAATCATATAAGGGGAAGTAAGCAAGTACCCTTGGCTGTAAACCACCCTGTAGGGGTGTGAGGAGCAAAGGACGTAAAGCAGAGAGCCTCACCACTCTACAACTGCTCAGTAAATATTAACAATTTCACTATTCTACCCCGAGTTTTTAAATGTCATCCTATGTACTAATATTCATAGCTATTATTTAAAACAAACTTAAAACTAGTTATAGTAGCTAATAATTTCTCACTTGTACTTCTGGATATCTATGGATTAGAAAGAAAAATTATTATGTCAAAAAAAAATGTCATGATCTCAGTGCCCTCCCACTCCTTTCCTTTCCCAAGTTCTTCCGCCACCTACTCCTGATGGCACAGTGTACCTTCCACTCAGGTACTCTTCAAAGACTCACCACAAAAGGTACTAAGATATGAGTGACCTCACTAATGATGATTTTAAACATTATAAGGCGATTAGTATGTTCTTAGGTGACTTTTTAATGTGCATGTCAGAAGATGGTTTTCTCAGTAATGGACATAAGAAACTAAAGCTATTATAACTAGAAAAGGAATTATTATTCTAAATAATTGATTTCTATTCCTTCCCTTTTTTTAAATTAGTATTTCTCTGAACAGTCATTGAAGAATCTTCTGCTTTCAACTTCTGAAGAAAAAATTGAAAAATGTTTTATAATCGAAAATATATGCACAATTGCTACAGTAGAAGAAACTAATCAAACTGATGAAGATCATAAACAATACAGTTCCCAAAACTGCCAGGATTCGGGAAATTATTCTAATGAAGATGAAAGCGAAAGTAAAACAAGTGAAGAGCTACAGCAGGATTTTGTATGACCAACAATGAACTCTGTCAAGCATAAGGTTTTCTGCAGGAGTCACACTGGGAGCCTGAGCTCCTCGCCTTCCCTCAGTCACTACAAAGAGGACATTTGCTTGTTTGGGGAAAGAAAAAACATCTTCAGTTATAGATCCTAAACATACAGGTAAGCACTTAACTATTTAAAAATGAAATTACACCAGGCACAGTGGCTCATGCCTGTAATCCCAGCACTTTGGGAGGCTGAGGCCGGCAGATCATCGGCGGTCAGGAGTTCAAGACCAGCCTGGCCAACATGGTGAAACCCGGTCTCTACTAAAAACACAAAAATTAGCCGGGTGTGGTGGTGCATGCCTGTAATCCCAGCTACTGGGGAGGCTGTAACAGGAGAATCGCTTGAAACTGGGAGGTGGAGGTTGCAGTGAGCCAAGATTACCACTGCGCTCCAGCCTGGGCGACAGAGTGAGACTCTCTCTCAAGAAAACAAAAAAAAGGAAGAAAAAAAGAAATTACATGAGTTGAGACAAACGTTTCCTACGTTCTTTTCCATGTGTAAAATCTTGAAAAACCTGTCACTGGACTTGCATTGGATGAGATGAGTCAGATCAAAACGATGGCCACCTGTCTCCCTCCTGCCAGCCCAAGTGCCACTGAGCTAGCCGTGCACTGTGGCTAAGGATGGCAGCTGTGTTCCTGTCCATCACCGGTGCTGCTGCCCACTGCATGTGTCCCACCTGTCTGCTGGCATTCCTAGCATTCTATTTCATTCTTCCTCAGGAGAGATTTCAAACATCTGGTCTTTTCTTTTAACACTGTGGGTAGGCCCTTAGGAAGTTTAGGAAAGTCTGAACACATTATCACTTGGTTTTCTGGAAAGTAGCTTACCCTGGAAAGCAGCTGCAGATGCCAGAAACATGCTCCCTAAAAATGTTCAGAGACTTCTGTTTATTTATCCCGAGAACATTGGTTTCCACATCACAGTATCTGCCCTTACATGGTTTAGGATTAAAGCCAGGCAATCTTTTACTGTTCGTTAACACTTCCGCTTCAAAACTTACCAGAACAATAGCTTCTGGCTGGAATTTGCAGTCACTGAAGTCATAGAAAATAGGTAACTAATTAGAGAAATAATTGTTATATTTTAAGGTCTGAGAGTGTGTGCAAGTTTTAATATACATGCCATGCCAGGAGACAGTGTATGCAGGAAGTCTTGGGACCAGAAAACGGCAGTGCTGGGAGACTGACACGGAAGGAGAAGACTTCCGCAGGAAAGAGGTTGCTGGCTCTGGTGCAAGAGGAAGCATGCTGTTCCACGGGAGCCTGTGCGCCTCTTCAGCTCTCAGTGATTCACACACTCTTGTTATGGGTCATCTGTGTCACTTTCAGTACCACGCTGGCTTCTCTGCACTGCCTAGCAGTATACAGATAGTCCTTCTACTCAGCCTGCTTGGCCTTAAAATACAAATCATTTAACTGAGGGAAAAAAGGTAACTAAGAAGAAAAACCTAATTTAAGAAATTACATAATGCTTTCCAAAGGCACTTACAACTTATTTTTAAATGACTTGTTACTGGGAATTACCCATGGATATCCTTAATAGGCAGGAAGTCTGGGGATTCTGGTGGCCTCTAGGGCAGAGTTGTCATAGCGCCGTCTGGCAGGGACCAGGTGAAAGAAAGGAGACAAAGTTAAGAGCATGCTGGGGAATAGCCATTGCTAAGGCCAGTCTCATTTCAGTAGTCATTTCTGCTCAGATAACAGATTGTCCTGGTGGAAGGAAAGGTTGAAGGCAGCTGCCTTAGAGAGGGCTCTGAGCTCAGCACATCCTGGGCATATACACCAGTCTGCAGGCCACACCATTCATGTTCCCAGATCTGCCGCCTGGCTTCTGGAGGGGTTCAAGCGGAGCATAGTGGGCCATTGAGGAGACCCAGGAATTTCTGAGATACAGCTCTCTTCCGGAGAACCCCAGGGTGACACCTTTTCATCTTTCTGAAACGACAGAGGCGTTTGGTTTGAAGTACATCTGCTGTGTTGGCCTGGCCTTTGTAAAAGCCCTGTCACTTTGGAAGTTTGCCCCTTTGAAGAGGCGATTGGGAACATACCACGACTCCCTGCCACCATTGCTTCTCAGACTACCCAATTCAAGGATCCTGTCCAGGACTTCCAGCCCTGTATTCTCCAGTGGAAAAACACGCTTTAGACTGGTTAGCCTCAAAAGGAGCAATGCCTTTGCAGGATGTGGAGAAGGGAAAATACAGAAATTAACATTAAAAGAAACAAGTGAAATTGTTAAGTCTCTAGGAAGTAGGAGCACAAGGCTTCACGTTTTGAGACTATCTGGTTTTCAGTGAACGAGCACTGAGCACCAGACTTGAAAAGGCAGTTCTGGCCGGGAGCAGTGGCTCATGCCTGTAATCCCAGCACTTTGGGAGGCATGAGGTCAGGAGTTCTAGAGCAACCTGACCAACATGGTGAAACCCTGTCTCTACTAAAAATACAAAAATTAGCTGGGCATGGTGGTGTGCACCTGTAATCCCAGCTACTCAGGAGGCCAAGGCAGGAAAATTGCTTGAACCCGGGAGGCAGAGGTTGCAGTGAGCCGAGATCGTGCCACTGCACTCCAGCCTGGGCGACAGAGCGAGACTCAGTCTCAGGAAAAAAGGCGGTTCCACCCTTCTCTTAATTGTGTTGTACATGTTGCTTAATCAGCATATGCTTAAGTGACAAGTATTTTTTCCGAACAGAAGTTTACTTAGAAATACTATGCACTTGGGGATACCAATAAACTGCCTCAAAACTAGCATATTAATAGTTCTTAGACCAAATATCATCTACAAATTTATATGAAAGACTTGTATCATTAGAGCCAGAAATAGTTTTATATTAATGTGTAATACAGATTAACATATGATGTACATGTGTAACTTCCGACATGGGCCTGCAAATGTGTTCATTTATGTACCTGCACATGTACCACACGATGCGGGTCTTACTCCTTTAGTATGAACTTAAAGTACTTATTAGTATAGCTTGGAACTAAAAATTAGAAATGCTCCGCAGAATTAGGAACTTTAAGAGTCTGACCAGAAATTTGCCACTTACAAAAAAGTTAGTTTTAAAAATATAAGTTATAGGGCCGGGCATGGTGGCTCACGCCTGTAATCCCAGCACTTTGGGAGGCCAAGGCAGGTGGATCACGAGGTCAAGAGATCGAGACCATCCTGGTCAACATGGTAAAACCCCGTCTCTACTAAAAAATACAAAAAAAATTAGCTGGGCATGGTGGCACGTGCCTGTAATCCCAGCTACTCAGGAGGCTGAGGCAGGAGAGTTGCCTGAACCCAGGAGGCGGAGGTTGCGGTGAGCCGAGATCGCACCATTGCACTCCAGCCTGGGTAACAAGAGCGAAATTCAGTCTCAAAAAAAAAATCTCTCTCTCTCTCTCTCTCTCTCTCTCTCTCTCTCTCTCTCTCTCTCTCTCTATATATATATATATATATATATATATATATATATATATAAAAGTTAGGGTTGGGCACTGTGGCTTATGCCTGTTATCTCAGTACTTTGGGAGGCCAAGACAGGAGGATCACTTCAGGCCAGGAGTTCAAGACCAACCAAACCAACCTGGGCAACCTGGCCAAACCCCAGCTTTATTATATATAAAACTTAGAGTTTGTTCTTCCCCCAAAAGAGACTGTGACATTTACAGTAGCCTGAAATTGCTCTTAAGGGGCTGGGGTGTGCAGAAGCTTTCCTTCCCCCACGCAGGAACCCAGTGACTACCTGACATGTTCTGTGTTTTGTTTGATGTCTGAACAACTTTGATGTTTGATGGTGAACAACTTGGTTGTTCGTTGCTGCATCCCAGTAATGAAGGTACTCGGAAAATAGTTACTGAATGAGTGAAATCTAAACTGTGAATCGGAGGGCGTTTGTGGCAGTGTTTGTATGTTACTGAATTGTGAAAGGGCATCGCTGTGTTTTCAGTGTTTCTATGCAACAACCTTGTACATTTTATTTCACTTGTGTTTTGTCTTAAACCCTACTGCTGGAAACAATTTTATATAATAAACAATGGGCCCAAAAATCTGGAGGTTATTTCGCACTTAGTGAATTTTTATGCAACAAAGATGCTGCAGCTGACGCTTTTAAGAGGTATTCATTGTGGAAGAGTCGAGGCCTGTGCTGTGTTCCTGGGCCTGGGGTTGAGCATCCTGAAGGAGTCACTGAACCGTCACTGTCCCCAGAGCCGGTGGAGACAGAGCTCCTTTGCTGCCTTTTCTTCCCACGCTCAAGACATGGCTGGAGCGCAGCCTTCATTAAATGAAAATTTGCTGTGGTGTTGCGTAGCCTTGCTTTTTGAACTAAACTGTTTTCCCTTCACTCCTGTCAGAATTACTTCGCTCCAAGGAGGCTCCTCGATCTCACAGATCAGTAGATGTCTCCTGCTGTCTGGACACATTTGACTTGGAAATTGAATACAGTTTGTGTTCAGGCTGGGAACCTCCCACGTTTGTGTTTTTAAGCTTCCCTTTTTTACAGTGGACAAGAACACAAATAATAAATCATCCCTAATGCCCTGTTACTTAGTAATGACAAAATACCAGTAACTTCCAGTTTTTTCTCACTACCTTTTTTCTTGACTAAGATGATGACAACAACTCTTGAGGGCGACATAAATGTATGTGGACATTTGTGGCATGATATTGATGGGAAATAGCAGTCCTTCACCTGAGGGGAGCAAAGGCAAGAGGAGAATTCCACAGTGTCATAACAAAGGATTTCTGAGTTTCCTCCCCTTTCTTAGATCTGTCTCTACTTGGAACTTATATTCTAGCAGAGGACATTTTGTGGGTGAAGAAAATGTTGGCAGTTCTGGCTGGCCAGCATGGTGAAACCCCATCTTTGCTAAAAATACCTAAAATTAGCCAGGTGTGGTAGTGCGCGCCTGTAATCCCAGCTACTCAGAAGGCTAAGGCAGGAGAATCGCTTTAACCCAGGAGATGGAGGTTGCAGTGAGCCGAGATCACACCACTGCACTCCAGCCTGGGTGACCGAGTGAGACTCCATCCCAAAAGAAAGAAAAAAAAGGAAATGTCAGAGCAGATATTCTCTTTTTTTTTTTAAGGTCTTAGGATGAGGGAGGAAATTGAAAAATCATACAACTCAGTAGCTAGATTGAACGTTACTTCTCACAGTGACGCACCATGCTTGTGTCCACCTCCCAGATTTTCTGGATCTATCATAAAGGAAGAAGCTAAGGGCAAGTTCAGAAGAAAAACCTGTTTTCCTGTCTTTCCGTAAAAGGGTCCTTTTCTCTACACTTAGCCCTTAAATAGAGAATAGGCTTTTTGTGTACTTTGTTGTCTATTCCCAAATTTTATAACACTTTTAGTATTCTGGAATTGTACTTAGAGAAAGAGATGATTCTAAATGTTGTAGTATAAAAGTACATCATCCACTCTGAAATCTTCCTAAAAGATCTCCACTGCGGACGTGTGGACGTTATCGTGCCCCGTCTGTGCCTGTACCTGCTCCCTAGGAAAGAGATTCTGTACCATTTGCCTACATTTGTCTCCTCCTACAATGTGGCAGGCTCCATGAGAGCAAGGACTATTGTTTAACTTTGTGTCCGACACTTGGTTACCTAAGTGTTTAACAGATTGAGCGGAGACACTGAAGGCACAGACATTGATTGGATTTGCCACTAGGGGACAACAAGTCACCATGTTTAGGCTGACAATCGGTGACTCTTCAATTTGATTCTTTTTTTTTTTTTTTTTGGTGGGGGAGGAAGGCAGGAAGGAAGGAAGGGAGGAAGCGGGGAGGGAGGGAGGGCAGGAGGGAGGGAAGGGAAGAAAGGAAATCAAGCAATGAGAGAGACATTGCCGACCTGGATCTAGAGGTTTACAAGTTGATTTTTTTTGAGAGAAGAAAAGAAAAAAAAAAAAATAAGTAAAGGAGAGGAAGAAAGAGGAAGAGAAAGAGGGAGAGTAAATGGAAATATTGCTTTATTTTGAAAAAAATTGGGTATTAATAATGGCCAATCAATGTTTCATTTAAACTAATGGGTGGGTGTGATGTGGTATTGACAAGAATGTATATTTTGTGTATTTGAAGTGGAGAGCTCTATAAATATTAAGTTTACTTGTTCTGGATCTGAGTTCGAGTCCTTGATATCCTTATTAATTTTCTGTCTCATTGAATCTAAGTCTCCTATCTGGGTGTTAGGATCGTTAGCTCTTGTTGCATTGATCCTTTTACCACTATATCTTTGTTGCTTTAAAATCTATTTTATCCGATACAAGAATTGCAACTCCTGCTTTTTATTTATTTATTATTTATTTTTGCTCTCCATTTGGTTGGTAAATCTTTCTCCATCCCTTTGTTTTGAGTCTTTGTGTATCCTTGCATGTGAAACAGGTCTGGATGTAACATGCCGTTGGGTTTTGGCTGTGTCTTTTGATTGGGAATTCAGTCAATTTAAATTTAGGGTTACTGCCATTTGATGTTGACTGGCTGTTTTATCCATTTGTTGGTGTAAATTCTTCTTTATGTTGATGCTCTTTACCTTTTGGTGTATTTTTAGAAAGGCTAATACTGATTGTTTCTTTCTGTGTGTAATGCCTCTTTCAGAAGCTCTTGTAAAGCAGGCCTAGTGGTAATAAAATCTCTGAGTACTTGCTTGTTCATAAAAGATTTTATTTTTCCTTCAGTTGTGAAGCTTAGTTTGGCTGGATATGAAATTCTGGGCTGAAGGTTCTGTTCTTTGAGGATGTTGAATATTGGCCCCCACTCTCTTCTGGCCTGTAGAGTTTCTGCTGAGAGATCTGCTGTAAGTCTGATAGGCTTGCCTTTGTGGGTAATCTGACCTTTCTCTCTGGCTGCCCTTAGTATCCTCTCCTTCGTTTCAACCCTGGTGAATCTAACGATTATGTGCCTTGGGGTTGCTCTTCTTGAGGAATATCTTTGTGGTGTTCTCTGTATTACCTGGGGTTGAATGCTGACCTGCTTTGCTAGTTTAGGAAAATTTTCCTGAATAATATCCTGAAGGGTATTTTCCAGCTTGGATTCATTCTCTCCGTCGCATTCAGGTACACCTATCAAACGTAAATTTGGTCTTTTCACATAGTCCCACATTTCTTGGAGACTTTGCTCATTCCTTTTTATCCTTTTTTCTCTAATCTTGTCTTCTTGTTTTATTTCATTAAGTTGGACTTTGACCTCTGATATCCCTTCTTCTGCTTGAACAATTCGAGTGTTTAAACCTGTGCATACTTCTCGGAGTTCCTGTATTGTATTCTTCAGTTCCATTAATTCACTCATACTCCGCTCTAAGTTGTCTATTCTCAATAGGATTTCATCAAACCTTTTTTCAAAGTTCCTAGTTTCTTTACGTTGGGCTACAACATGTTCTTTTAACTCACCGAAGTTTGTTATTATCCATTCCTTGAAGAGTGATTCTGTCATCAGGAGGCGCTCGTTCTCCATCAAGCCTTGTTCCATTGTTGATGTGGAACTGTGATCATCTTTAGAGGGAGAGGCGTTCTGACTTTGAGTATTCTCAGCTTTTTTAAGCTGGTTTCTTCCCGTCATTGTAAATTTATCCTCCTGTCGTCTTTGAAATTACCAACTTTCAGATTAGGTCTCTTGAGTGGACATCCAGGTTGTTAGTTCCCAGGGCCAGAGCAGGGGCGTTAAAACTGATGGTGCTTTTCTGCCCAGGATTCTCCTGTCGGGCTTCCTTCTTGTGTCCGTAGTAGGCGACTCTGCCTTCCCGGGGCTCCAAACCTCGGTCAGAAGGGGAACCGGTCCCATTTACTCTGCGCCGAGCGCTGCCGCGTCGAGGTGCCAGCGGAACCGCTGCGCCGACCACGAGAGTCGTGCTGGCGACTCGTGTGTTTCCACCACTGGGGGATCTTCTGCTTCGTGAGCGACCAGACTTTGTCTGAAAGTGTGGCGTCCTCTAGTTCTCCGCGCCTTCCCTGAGAGCTGCAATCCCGGGATGTTAGCGATCGGCCATCTTGGATCGTTCCCTGTAATTATGTTCAATTTGATTCTTAAATGGCCATGTCATGAAACTCGAAGAGGGCAATGTGTAGCTGAAGGTTGCTGGATGTGGCAAATAAAAATACAGAACACCCAGTAACGTTTAAGTTGGACTTTCAGGTAAATGATAGCATGCCCCAAATACTGCATGAAACATACCATTTTCCCCACTGTATAATGCTTTGAATATGCTGGCATTTTATATAGAGATGGTTATAAATTTTTTAGTATAAAAGTATCATTCCATCTTTGAAATCTTCTAAATCACTTCTACCACATAAGCATAGGAGTCATCTTTGTGGGGCCAGGCTCAGTGGCTCACACCTGTAATCCCAGCACTCTAGGAGGCCCAGGCAGTGGATCACCTGAGGTCAGGAGTTTGAGAGCAGCCTGGCCAACATAGCAAAACCCCGTCTCTACTAAAAATACAAAAAAGCAATTAGCCAGGTGTTGTGTGTGCCTGTAATCCCAGCTACTTGGAAGGCTAAGACAGGAGAATTGCTTGTACCTGGTGAGCAGAGGTTGCAGTGAGCCAAGATTGCACCACTGCACTCCAGCCTGGGCAAACAGAGTGAGACGCTATCAAAAAAGAAAAGTGTGGTGGGGGGGAGCCAGGCGCAGTGGCTCATGCCTGTAATCTTAGCACTTTGGGAGGCCGAGGTGGCTGGGCCACCTGAGGTCAGGAGTTCGAGACCAGCCTGGACAACATGGCAAAACCTCATCTCTAATAAAAATACAGAAATTAGCTGGCCATGGTGGTGCATGCCTGTAATCCCAGATACCAGGGAAGCTAAGGAAGGAGAATCACTTGAATCCAGGAGGTGGAGGTTGCAGTGAGCCAAGATCCCACCACTGCACTCCAGCCTATGTTACGGGAGCGAGACTCCATCTCAAAAAAAAAAAAAGACATCTTTGTGCTACATCTTTAATTTCAGACTAACAGTTTTTTGCTATATGTTCCATGTAATATGAGGCACACTTATACTGAAATAGTATTTTTTTAATCTGAAATGCACTTTTAACGAGATGTCCTGTATTTTACCTGGCAACTCTAGTGTATTTGTCTGTGTTGCCATGAAGAAGTACCTGAGGCTGGATAATTTTTTTTTTTTTTTAAAGTTTACATGGGCTCACAGTTCTGCAGGCTGGACAGGCTGTATGGTGCCAGCATCTGCTGGTGAGGCCTCAGGAAGCTTCCAATCATGGTGGAAGAAAAAAAGGAGCAGCATATCACATGGTGAGAGAGGGAGCAAAAGAGAGGAGGGGGAGCCAGGCTCTAAACAACCAGCTTTTCCGTAAACCACCAGAGCAAGAGCTCATTAGCAAGAGGATGAATGATCCACCCCCACAACCCAAACACCTCCCACCAGGCCCTACCTCCAACACTGGGAATATATTTCAACATGAGATTTGGAGGGAACAAACATCCCCAAATCTTATGTTCTTCTCACTGTAAAATACAATTATCCCCTCCCAGTAGTCCCCCAAAGTTTTAATTCTTTATCCACTCAATCAAAAGTCCAAAGTCTCA